GGTCTGGGCCTCCCTTCTGAAGCTGCTGCCCCCGCGACCCGACCCCGGATAGGCGGAAGAAAATGGATGGATGGAAGTCCCCTGTCAACCCGGTGACGAGCATGATGTCACTCTGCCTGGTCAAATCATTTATAATTACACACTTGAGTTATAACAGACACCTAAAGCACCATCTTTTGTTATATTAGTGTTCTAGCTGCAGTGCACTCCTTTCTCAGTTTCAATAACCTCCCTGTTCCCACTCAGGGGGAACATTTAAGCACCAAAAAGAATCAACTGTTAGACAGCATCACACTGACTGCCACGCTGAAAGGCACYCTGACACGCCGCTAAGATTTACTGGATGATCCCAGGCACCCAGGCTGAGTGGAGAACGGGTCAATGTGTCCTTCCTCTGTGCCGCCGCAGCCAGTAGAAAATGTGGGAGCTGAAGGCAGTCCGAGGCGTTTCCTCTTCTCTGCTGTAACAGCTAACTGAAGGCTAAAGCTGACGAACATGGTGCAATAACTGTGACAGATGAACAGCCCGCCTCACGTCTGTTCAGTCATTTACTTACCTTTTTTTTTGGAAGAGCAAAAAGTGCTTGGGTCAATATTACCTTTCGGCAGCGTTAACTAATATCTGTCTGACATCTATAGGCTGATTAAGGATGTTGGCGGGGTCATTAGTGGTCTGCAGGGGGAGATCAATACTGTATTGTCAGGACGGCTCCGTTTTAAGCACCATCAGTGAGACTTAAGATGACTGACAGCTCTGAGCCTTGACTAAAACAATTATTTCTAACCCTGTGTTAGGCTCCARGGGTTGCTAAACAAACAGCCTTGAGTGAGCCTGCTTCTGTGGCAAATATCAAATTATGCTGAAACTCACAACCATGTTTAATTTGACTCCAGGGAACCTGATAACTTCAATAAAAAAAAATAAAAAATAAATTAAAAAAACTTACCATTTCCAGATCCGACACACAATCCTAAAAGAAAATACAAAACAAAAACACTTTACAGAAACATAAAGATCTGCATGTGTGGAGCTTAAACAAACACGAAGGGTGTATGAAACCGTGAGCGCAGCTGAAAATGGGTGAGAAGAAACAATGCGAGTGGTGAAAAAAGGAGAGGAAGAAGGTGTTCTAACATAACAAGGGGAGGAAATTCTGAAGCTTTGGGAGAGTCTGTAGCACACGACAGGCTTCTTATCACACACACAAAGACAAAATGCTCCATCCACTCCTCCAGCTCCTGACTGATGTTCCCTCGCTAACGATGCATAAGTGATGCTCGGCCTCTTATCTGCCACTCAAACGCACACCTGCTTCTCCCTGCAGCAGGCTGCTTTTCTCTCTCTCTCTCTCTCCCTCTGCCTGGAACGTGTTGATGCTTTTTAACAAGGGCTCCCCCTCCCCTCCCCACCATCGGTTCATCCCCCAACTTCTTTTTAACTCATCTGTGTCCCTSGTGCAGCCTGTTTTTCCTCTTCACATGTAAATCACATTCTTTGCAGACACTTTAGTCYTGTTCAGATGTGTGCACACATCTGTTTTGCATTTTAATGGAGGAATAAAAGTGCCTGTGAGGTGTTCGGGGGGCCACTCGCTCCAGCCGAGGTGAGTGGGTGGCCTGCCAAGTGTAGCTGCACTGAAAAACAGACAAGGCCTTTAGTGGCTTTTAAACTCCAAGGCCTCGTGTCTGCTGTAATTAGCTATTTGTTGGAGCGAGCCTGCAAAGAGTGTCAGGCTCACAGCTGTGCAGAAATGTTGGGAACACTAAACTCAAGATCCCTCTGAAACCTGGCATGTAAAAAAATCTGACATGCAAAACATGTTGTATGTAAGAAACTGTCTTCTTATACCAAGGAAATTGGATTATAAGGACATGAAAAAAAAATTTGCTGACAAGCAGATAGTGCATGGAATAATAAAGATACATGAATCTGACCTGAAGGCTTCTCATTTCCTCCTCCTTCCTGCGACTCCTTTCCAACAGCTCTGAAATGAAGAGATTGTGTATGATAAGATGTTGCTGTTGATAAGCTGCGTTCTCAGATCTTTGTTAACTTTGAAAAAATAATGTTTGAACTCCAAACTCAATTTATAAACAGAACACATTTCAAATATTTACTGATTTATCTTTAACTTTTATTGTCCATCACTGAAAGGCAATGTTTATGCCCATGTCTGTGTGTGTGCATGTGACTGTTACCTAAATGTATCATGGACTACTAGATGAACTTTATTGATAACTGGGGAAGTTATCAGCGGATGTGCCTCTTAAAAGAATCAACTTTTAGAGTCAATTCAATTTAAGCTACTATACCTTAAAAAATACAAAAATGACTCAACTTGAAAAATAGTGGAATAAAATTTGATGTGGTAGTAGTTAAGTCTTGCTAATAGACAATCTTTTGTAAAAWATTTTTGTTGTTAACGATTTGGAGTCAATTCTTATCTGTCAAATATCTCATGAACCACTAGATCTAGATTGTTTTTATTGAAAGMTAATTATGTCTCCACCCCAGAGGCATAATTTGGTTGTCTGTCTCTGCGTTAGTGGGTGCGAAATTCTGTCCATCATGCTGCCCTTGTGTGCACTGTAGCTCCTGAACAGAGCTACTTGTATTGTTTTCAGTCCAAATTCACATGGTAATTGTTCTTGGCCCAACGGAGGTCTAAAAACATTTTGGAGTCAAAGGTCATAGCTGAAGGTCAGGGAAAGTGTTCTTTGTTGCTTAAATCCCCTTGCTTTGGATCGTACACATGAGTTGTTGGTCACTGAAATTAATGATATGGTAAACATCAAAGAGGAAGTCATGTTTACACATTGTTGATATACTTATATGCTTCTTAAAATATTTCAATCTAAAAACAGAGGTCAACAAGTAACTGCATGCCCAGTGCTTTAAATGCAGACACTAAGGCAGGCAGAGTCATACCAATCGATGCTTTGGCATTGAGTTCTACCTTATTATTATTGAATGGGCATCCACAAATAATACATTTTGGAGTCAATCCAATTCAAGATGGCTGCCACAGCTAGTCAACGGCTGTGTTCTTCGAAGGGTCCTCGGTAGACCACAAAGACCGGAAAAAAGAGGCTGTGAATTTGGACGGTCTAGCTTCCTGCCCTTACCCCGGCATACGTCCTGTCACCTAACAACCAAGACAATGTTAAACAGAAGCAAAATTAGATGAAAATTAGCAAAATGTCAATATATTAGTATCACAAAACAACAAAATTAACCCAAAGGCAATATTTGAAGAACTAAGGGACCCACTGTACGTGCACGTTTATTTCTCTATACCAGCTCGTTTGATTTCTGACAAGAATATTAATAAAAAGAYCATGTCTATACAAATGATAAAAGCATTAACAGCACAACAGCTTGAAACTTTTAATTTTTATACCACCAGATTATTATTTAATACTGTACTCCTTTCTCTCGCTTTTTCCACCATTACTCGCAGAAAAGAAATCTCCGTTCGGCCTATAATGCATTATAGGATAGGGTGGGCCGGGAAGTATCCATCGGACCCGTCCCTGAAATCGGGGCAAAAGGAGGACGCATGGCAGGCATGTTGCCAGGGCTCTGAGCCGGTTTGCGCTCTGGTGCTTGGTTGGGGGCTGGGGGTCCTCGGTGCGCTGGTGGGTTACTCCGGCTTCCCTGGAGCTGTTTGGATTCCTGGGGTGTGGCTACTGGTTGCTGTGGTTTGCCCARTGGCCGGGGTGGCTACTGGAGTCCAGTGGGTGGTTGGCTAAGGGTGTGTGGGGTTGATTGGGGGTGTGGTTTCGCTGAGGCAGAGGGGCTGGCTGGTCAGCCTGGTGCAGTCCGGGCCATAGCTATCTGCTCCTCTCCACCCCAGAATGAATGTGTCTACCTCCTGGGTTCGGATGTGGGCTGCCCTCTGTCGGGGGGCGGGTGCATATCCTGGGCCTGGGGGTTATAGAGTATGTATGGGGAGTGTGATTGGAGTATGCATCCGAGTGAGTGTGAGGATGGGATTGTGAGATTGTGTCTGTGTATGATTGGATGTGTGTCAGGAAGGGTCTTGTGCTGCCCCCTCTTCTAGTTCACCTGGGGGCCCACTGCTGGTGGTGGSRTTMMRCCCCRMSC